TTTGAGCTTCATAAAATGTGAGCCTAAATTTTTATGATTTTTCACTTGTACAAGGAAGATAAACTTAACAATAATGTAACTATTACATTTGATTAATGAAGGCTATAATATAATACTTGAAAAAATAGATTATAAAGCCTATCATAAATCTCATCACAATACAAAAATATGAATTAGATCCTATTTAACCTATTTGAAATTCTGGTTTTTTTCCTACCAATATACTAATCCTCACTGAAATCAAGATCTTATTTTCAATCTGCCTTGAATTCAATCAAGAATACATTCTTCTGTAGAAATTATAAAGTCTTGCATTCAGACGATTGCATGGAATGCTTTTGAAAGTCTAATAGCCAGCCTAAGCCTCTGAAAGAAAAGAATTGTGCTCTATTCTGGTCTTTATCCTTAGGGTCTCACACAATAACTAGGACACAAGACAGTCTAGATTCATATTTGAGTATTTGCATAAGTGGATGAATAACAAAGAGATAACAGGAAAACTTTCTGATTCAAAAATGGCCCAAAGGAAACTGATAATTGATCTCTCCAAAAGAAGGGCTAATGATGAGGATGCATAAATGAATGCACAAATGAATGAATGAAATTATAGACTATAAAATATCAAACTAGATATCATGAAAAAGCAGAAACTTAGGGCTTCAGGAATTTAGCTTCTGAGCAAATAGATGTGGTCATCTCTGGAGGATATTGGGCCTCTTCACCCTCTCAGTAAGAGGAATTCCTCAGTAAGAGGAATAAATTTATTTATTTATTTATTTATTTATTTATTTATTGGTGGGACCCTCGCCGGTGGCCGGGGATCAAACTGGCGCTGCAGAGACTGGGGGCAGCCTTGCAACCCAGCGCTCAAACGCTGCACCACCAGGGGAGGCCCAAGAGGAATAGTCTTTAAATGAAGACCACAGCTGGGGATGGGAAGTCCCAGGCCTTGGCTCCAAACAAATGAGTAGGGAGGGAGAACACAAGTCAACTCTTCTTTAAGGCCAAGCTCTAGGGGGTTGCAAAAACTCTCCTAAACACTTCTAGGATGGGGAGGGAGTAGTATTACTTAAGAGATCCTAGTAAAACTGCGTCCAAAATATCTTTCCTATGCTTTCCAAAATCCCACCAGTAAAAATATTTTATTTGCTTAGTTAGCAATACATGATCCCTTCTAGCTCAGATTGACACTAGCAATTTGTGTCAACGAATGTTAACTACTTCTTATTCCCTAGAGAATATTATTTAATACAAGGACTGCTAACCAAAATATACCTACAGTATTTTAAGTCTAGGTTCCTAATGCCAAGTCCAGCAGACTTACCATCATATCATGGCCACAGGCTTGTCCTAATACTTAGATGAGGGGACTTTATTTTCAAGTGTCTAGCTGTAGGTAATGCAAATACAATGTAAGTTATGTGCAATGAAAATGACAATAAAAAGGAGTGACTTTCTAGTAAAACAATGGGGACTTGTGGAGATGTCAAAAGGAAAATGTGTTCTGTCTGAAAGAGAAGCCACTAATTAGTTTAGATGTATTCTTATTATGCAGAAATGTAGATCCAGTTTTGCCCAGATCTGATTTTTCAAGAGAGCCTGAAAATCCATATTTTCATATAAAATGTACAAAGTTTTAAGTATGTCTATGGCTGAAAGTGGTTTTTCTTAACTGTCATTTTGTGGCTCCTAATCTAAACAAGCAGCCCCAGAAAATGGAAACATCAAAGGGGAGGCTTGTTTTTGCCAGAAAGAGAGAGGCAAAGGGGAAGGACAAGAAGAGGCAAGGAAAGGAAGATGGAAGTCAAATTTCACTGACCTCACAACCAGGGCAATAAATAGCGCCCTAATCTATTAGCATTCTAATCTGGGAGCAAAAACCGAATGGATAACAAGAGGAGGGAGGGCCTCCCTGGTGGAGCAAGGGGTTAAGCACCACACTATGAAGCAATCCACAGCCTCTGCAGCATGAGTTCGATCCCCGGCTGGCCAGGGAGCAACCCACAAGGCGCAGCAGACCTCTCCTGTCTCACCCGCTGCTCCCCTCAGCACTGTATTTCAGTCAGTCTGCCTGTTCTGTTCCCTGCTCTGTCTCTGGTGGATCCTCTCACCCCCCCTGCATTTCTGGCCTGTACCTCAGCTCTTGTATGTATAAATAAATAAATCTTCAAAAAAAAAAAAAAAAAGAGGAGGGAAAAAAAGAGGGTGAGGAGAGAAAAAAGTACATTATTTGAACACTTACTAGATGGCACATATTGCATCAGATGCCTCACAGACAATTTTATTGAGATATGGTAATACAAGAGAAATAGGTTTTGCATGGGAAAAGAAGGAAAAAGATCAAATTGCAAACCAGTAGATATGTCAGATTTTGAGAGCCCCATTTCCATTTTTTCACAATTTTTAGCTATAAATATAAAATGGTTCTAATAACTTTAAAATAAAAACAAATCTGAGTAAAAGTTAAATAAAAATGGGTTACAAATCCACCCATCCTAGGCAACTCCTTGGTGGGCTAGGGGTTGATGTCTCAGTGCTATCACCCCAATGGCCTGAGCTTGGTCAGGATCCCAGCCAGGGAGCTGACCCACATATGGCGCAGCAGACCTCTCCTGTTTCGCTGCTCCCCTCAGCAGTGTACCGCCTGTTCAGCTCCACTTTCTGTATCTGGGGAATCCTCTCACTCCCACACCTCTGGCCTGTACCCCAGTTCTTGTATGAAACAATAAATAAATAAATAACCCTAAAAAAAAATCCATCCATCCTAGAATATAGAAAGTATATTACCATGTGTCAAGCCAAACTATCTGCTGAATATGTGCTGAAAAACAAAAAGAAAATAGAACATATGTATGTAAATAATATGTAATTTTGTGATTATAAAACCAGAAAAAAAAGAACACAAAAGAAACTACACAGGTGATGTAGTCACCCGATTGATTAGACAAAAACAGAAATATGTGAAATTGTTAAGAACATTGTAGATAATTTTCCTTCTAAATTATAAAGTGCACTACCAAGATGTTTATTGTGTGTGTGTGTAGTCTATATTCTACAAAATGTAATGAGTTCCCTCTTCTGTAAAAAGTTTCAGCCATTTGTTCATCAGTAACATACTTCTATACATTTACTGCATTGTCTTATTTCTTTTAGGCATGAATTTTTATTTAAATAGCATTTTCATTTGCCTTTAGGGTATTTCAATGATAATAGTAGGTTTTACTTTTTCCTAAATGAAGTATGCTACTCAGGCCAATCCAAATCCCCAAATACACACATTCAGTTTTTATTCTGTTCACAAAGGAAACGCTAACCTAAATACTTCAAGTGTAATTTCAGGGGAAAAATACTGTTCAAAAACCTAGATAATACATTCCTTCATTGATGCTAAATATAGTCAACTCAAGATGACATACATTTTGACAATGATGGGTCTTAAATATAAAATTTTCAAAAATAGCACAGATTCCATTCTAAGGTGAGCAGGAAAAATTGCTATTCACTACATTTCAATTTAAAATGAATTCAAAAGTGTGAATCTTCTATTAATACTGAATTGCATTATTGAGAAAAACTGGGCTTACAGAAAATTTGGGGGGCTTGCTTAGGCTCTTTAAAGGTGTTATTGAAGATAATTGCAAAATCGCACAATTTTCTTTAAATTATTCCACAGAATATAAAAAGATCTTCAAAAATAAAATATTAATAGCTGTGAAGAACTAACTACATTAAATAATCAAAGTTCATTTATGCCACATATATCTCACCCAAAACCAATTTGAATAATTATGCATTTTCCACCTTACCACACCTGGAACCTCAAAAAAATGTCTGAGGCTTATATATATTCTGAATACATATTACACAATTTAATCTGTAAAGTGATTAGGAGAGAAAATAATGTGGCTCTCAATACTGTGTGACTAAGATGGTATAAATTCTTTAGTTTATTTAATCATACTACCCAACCCATAGTTATGTAGTGACTCGCAGGCCAATGGACCCCTTACATTGAGCTCATTAACAAAATTTTAACTGATTCATTTTGCTCCCATTGCTTTGCTCATGGAACTAAATTCTTACTATCCTTTACTTCTTTTCTCTACTTGCTCCTTTGCCAAGGACATACATTTTGTTAGGACACATCCTTATGCTATTTTTACCCTGTTCGCGTTCTCTCTCCCTCTCCCGCTCCCCCGACTCTTTTCACGTTTAGGACATTTAATAAACATAGAATGAAGATCTCAAACGCCAATAATAAATTGGTAGAGGGTTTCCGTTTACAAACACGGTTGCAATGGCTTGGCCTGCTTTCAAAAAGCATGTCGTCCAGGAGGGCTCGAGAGGTGACTGCATTATTCACTCCAATTTCCAGCTCTAGCTGCACAATCTCCAACATCCCATCTCGGACAGAATCAGGAAAACAGAGTTTGGAGGGAGGGGGTGGCTGACAGGCGGTTAAGGCACAGTTCCCACCCCAGCCTCCACAGGGAGAGGTCAGGTATGATTGATTTCTCTTAAAAAATAACAGGCTCTGCTGGCTGAGCCCGCGCCCGCGCAGGGGCACGTGGGCGACCACACTGAACTTCACCCGCCTGGACCCCAAGGCTCGAGCACTAGGACTGGCGTCCGCTCGGCTGCAGGAGCAGAGAAAGCACCCCAAACTCAGCGCGCCAGAGGCAAGCGGAGCAAAAGCAGAGGGGCGCACGGCGGGGCAACGGCAACCAGAGGCTGGAGGATGGTTGACCGACAGTCGGAGAGGCAGAAGCCCGTCTGCGCTCGGCCGAGCCCGCATGACCCTCTCCAAGGACCGATGGGCTCGGGCCGGGGACCGGCGCGGAGCCGCCGCGGGAAGGTTGCGCTCCACGGCGCGGCGGCCAAGAGGGTGCAGAGCCCCGGCGCCGGGAGCGTCTCCCCCTCCCCGCAACCCTTACCCCCGCGGGGGGACCCGACCCCTCCGTCTCTGCCTCCCCCGCCCCACCTTCCCCGCCTTGTCTCACCCTCCAGGGGTCTGGGACAGACGGACGTCCTAGTTGCGGGCGGAGAGGCTGCGCGCGTCCTGCTCCCGAGGGTGGGCAGGGGTCTGGGTGCTCTGCGCGCTGCCGCCGCCGCTCCAGCCGCTGGGAGCCCTCTGGCTGCAGCCGCCGCGGTCTCCAGCAGCAAGTTTCCATAAAAGTCCTGGTGCGCAGCCTGTTCCCGCATTCCAGGCGGGCCCAGCGCCGGCTGCAGCTGTTCCAAAACACAAGGCCAGTTCCCCAACCCTCCCCCCACCCCACCTCCCTCGTATCGCCGCGAGAGGGGTGGAGAGTCTAGGAGGAAGACAGGCGTCGGGGGCGCTGGCTGCCAACTTTCCGCCAGAACCTGCGCCTGTCCCCGAGTTCTGGGTCTCAAGAGCTGACCCCCTCACCTTGGGTCGGCTTCCACCTCCCGGCAGAGTCCATAGAAGGGAGGCTGGCTCCCCTACGGGAAAGGGATGATTCTGGAACAGGATTTATAAAACAGGCTAGAGGCTGGTTATCCCCCTACCCACAGACCCCCGCCCCAGGGCCCATTCTCCCAGCTAGTCTACCCTCCTGGTTTCTACTCCAGAAGCCAAGCCGCCACCTTATCTTCATCCAAAGCATTTGACCTTCTGCCAACTTTTATTGGTGAGAACATAAGACAGCAGTCAGGGGACCAGTCAGTCTGCGTGTGGCTCTCCTTTTCTTGACTTTGGCTTAACTCCAAAGAGAGTGGTTGATGGCAAAAAGTAGAAGGGGAAGAAGGGGCAGGGTGGGGGAGGGAGATGGGGAAGAGTAGAGGGAGGAGGAGGAATGAAAGGAAACAATTTTTATATAAGCTTTCAACCTTTCCTCAAGAGAAGGCAAAAAAAATCTCCTGTCTTCCTGAACTTAATATGTCATCTGCGAATATTAACACACATAGACATTTTCAACTTGGACCACCACCCTGTCGATTAAAACCATCTGACAGCGCATTTAAATCCTGAAATGTTCGTGGAGGGTGGTGGGCAATTTTCCATGTGAGGGAGATCTTCAATTCTTCATTGCATGCAAAAAAAATTTGATCAATTTTAAAAATTGAACAAGCTCCCACACAAATAAACCAAGGGGAGCAATTCCAACTTCCAGCCCTGGGCAGACAGTGGTGCTCAGGTTATATTTTCAGGGACGTCTGCTATTAATTATAACTCTGGTTCTCCACCCCATTTCTATACACCATTTACTCAGGGTGGAAAAATTTTTCTTTTATTGAGGTAAGTTAATTTACATCATTGTATTTGTATGTTTATAAATAGTTCAAACCTCTTTATATGTTTCCACTCCCTACCCACTACCAAAGTTCTAAAAATCCTCCACCATGTTCTACTGGACCTCCTTCCCTCCCACAACTCCCCATTTTGCCTCACTCCCCTTCTGGTTGCTCAGTTTTGTAGTCAGATATCAAGGGTTGTTTTTGTTTTGTTTTTTTTAAGATTTATTTATTTATGTATACAAGAACTGGGGTACAGGCCAGAGGTGCAGGGGGTGAGAGAGTTCACCACAGAGTGGGGAACAGAACAGGCAGAATGACTGAAATACACTGTTGAGGGGAGCAGCAGGCAAGGCAGAAGAGGTCTGCTGTGCCATGTGGGTTGCTCCCTGGCTGGGTATTGAACTCATGCTGCAGTGGCTGCAGATAGCTTCATTGGTTGCATCTTAACCCCTTGTACCACCAGGGAGGCCGTGATTTTTTTTTAAATATTTAATTTATTTATATTTGCATAGAAGAACTGGAATGTATGCTGGAGGGGCAGGGTGAGGGAGAGCTTGGGGGTGAGAAGACTCACCAGAAACAGAGTGGGGAGTATAACAGGTGGATGTACTGAAACACACTGCTGAGGGGAGCAGCTGGAGAGACAGGAGAGGTCTGCTGCACCATGTGGGTTAGCTCCCTGGCTAGGGATCAAACTTCAGGCACAGTGGTAATAACACTGAGACTTAATGCCCAGGCCACCATGGAGGCCTGTCATTGGCTAATTTTTTAACAGTAGTAACAAACTGATATATGTTTGGTACATTTATTAAAGTAGAAGAGGTAGAATTTTGGTTATAGACTGAATGTGAACTGTGAGGAAAAGAAGCCTTTGGCATAAGTACTAAAAGAGAGTTTTTATTTGCTGGGATGCAAAAAACTGAGAGGAGGCGGTTTAGGTATATGTGGTCAGGAGCTCAGTTTTAGACAATGCTGGTTTTGAGAAGACTATTAGGAATCCAAGATTTGTCAATGTGTAAAAACAGTCATATATTTATCATGAATCAGTTGAGTTTTGTTCTTAGACTTAGTTTAATCACAATCAGTTAATAACTTAGTTAATAACAATCAGTTGAATGTTATTGAAGTTGTATAAACATTACAAAAAGGAAGAAATGTAAAATAAAAAAGATATAATTTTTATATATAATTAGTTGAGTACTTTGAACAGATTCAATAAAAACAAAAAAGCTTACAAGCTAAGTGTGGAGAAACAAGTATAAAAGATCAGTTATGAAATTATAAAAATCTAGTTTTTTTTTTCACATAAATTCTGTCTCCTTTATAGTACAGGAAACTAGAAATCTCAGATGATTAGAAGTGTAGTTTATACAATAAAGGTATCTTGGAATACTGAGTAGATCCAAAATCCACATAAAGGCCCATGACCCTGTGTCAAAACATTGGCCAAATATACATACTCATTTAAAATTAAAACATCTGCATTATTTGTGTATAATTTATTGTGATTTCCTGTAGTGATTTCAGTCTTACGTAATTCACAGCCTTATGTCATTTCCTTCCACATTGTGTCAAGGTTAGTCTATGTGGCCAATGGAATATGGCACAAGTGATCATATGTCACTTCCAAGTCTGGGCTATAAAAGATACTGTCTTGGGCCTCCCTGGTGGCGCAGCGGTTGAGCGCTGGGCTTCGAAGCTGCCCGCAGCCTCTACAGCACCGGTTTGATCCCTGGCTGCTGGGCGAGGGTCCCACATGGCGCGCAGACCTCTCCTGCTGCCCGCTGCTCCCCTCAGCAGTGTACTTCGGTCCTTCTGCCTGCTCTGCTCGCCGCTCTGGCTCTGGTGAATTCTCTCACCCTCTGGCGCTTCTGACTGTACCCAGTGCTTGTATAAATACATCTTTAAAAAATAAAAAAATAAAGGCACACTTGCCCGGGTCCAGCCCACTGAGCCTATTCTCTCTTAAAAAAAAAAAAAAAATACTGTCTTTTGCCTCAGTATCCCTTGGATTACTAAATCTAGAGGATGCCAACTGCCAAGTTTCAAAGATACTCAGAGAGCACTGTTAAAGGGCCCACAGAGTAAGAATCTAATGCCCCCTTGCTCCTCCCCCACAACAATCATGTTAGTAAGCAAATTTTGAAAGCAAATCTTCTACCCCTACTCAAGCCTTCAGATGACTGCAATCTCAGGAGAGATCCTAAGAAAGAACTACTGGGATTGGCCCTTCCTAGATGCCCAGCCCTCAGAAACTGTGAGAATGATGTTTGTCTTTTCAAGTTGCTCATTTTTGGAATAATCTGTAATATTAGCAATTGATATGAATTACCCCTGCTTTAACCTACTTTTTACATTTTCATTGGGCCTCCCCGGTGGCGCAGCGGGTTGAGTGCTACGCTGTGAAGCTGTCCGCAGCCTCTGCAGTGCGGGTTCAATTCCCTGCTGGCCAGGGAGATACCCACATAGCACAGCAGACCTCTCCTGCCTTGCCCACTGCTCCCCTCAGCAGCGTCTTCCGTCTGTCTGCCTGTTCTGCTCCCGCTCTGGCTCTGGTGAATTCACTCACCCTCCCGCGCCTCTGACTGCACCCTGGTTCTTATATAAATAAATAAATCTTAAAAAAAATTTTTCCATCTTCTACCATATAAAGCACTCATTTCTTTTTAAAGTTCCTGGGCTTACACAAAGTGTTATTAAATAAAAGTCAGTCTGGAAGTCATATATTCCAAGTGCTTTCAAATGTCAGAGTGCTTCTCTGCATTCAAGTATTATATCAAATATAGTGAATTATAAAAGTTCTGTAATCTCCTATATATAAATGTACTTTGTGAAAGGCTTCTATCACACACATGAGAGATAAAAGCAATACTTCGAGGTGGTATTTGATGTACCAGTTGCTTTGCTGTAGCTTTTATGTAAAGAATAAAAAGTGTCATACAAGGAAGGCTTACTTTTCTCCCCCCTGTACTGGAATTCAGTCCTTCTCTGACCAAATGATGGAAGTTACTTAAGAGTTTTCACTCTTCAAGGGCCTCCCTGGTGACGCAAGGGGTTAAGCACCGCACTATGGAGCAGTCCTCAGCCTCTGCAGCACCAGTTCCATGCCCGGCCGAACCCATGTGGCACAGCAGACCTTCCCTGTCTCTCCTACTGCTCCCCTCTGTAGTGTATTTCAGTACATCTGCCTGCTCTGCTCCCCACTCTGTCTCTGGTGAGTCCTCTCACCCCCCGCATCTCTGGTCTGTGCCCCAGCTCTTATATGCATAGATAAATAAATCTTTAAAAAAAAAAAGTTTTCACTCTCCGGATGTACCCGGAGTGTGTGTGGGGTGGGGGGCAGGGAGAACCCCAGCAGAAGAAAGAGCTGTGCAGCTTCATCAAAGATGTCAGTAGCATAAGAAAAGAGATTAAAGAAGTAGTAGGAGGGTAAATTATTACAGAATACAATGTATAGGAAGAAATACATCAAAGACAGCTTGAGAATAAGGCGGTGAATAAACCAAATACATTTATAAAAATTTCCAGAAAAGGTCTACAAATAATGGAATAATGGAGCAAACCCAGATGCTTATAGAAGAGTTTAAACAGACATAAAAATCAGAAAGCGGGCCTCCCTGGTGGCACAAGGGTTTAAGCACAGCACTGTGAAGCTGTCTGCAGCCTCTGCAGCATGAGTTCGATCACTGGCCAGCCAGGGAGCTACCGACATGTACAGCAGACTTCTCCTGTTTGTCCCGCTGCTCCCCTCAACAATGTATTTCAGTCAGTCTGACTGTTCTGTTCCCCACTCTGTCTCTGGTGAGTCCTCTCACCCCCCTCCCACAACCTCTGGCCTTTACCCCAGTTCTTGTATGCATAAATAAATCTTTTTTAAAAATTAGAGAGGGCCTCCCCGGTGGCGCAGCGGTTGAGCGCTGAGTTGCGAAGCTGCCCGCAGCCTCTGCAGCGCCGGTTCAATCCCCGGCTGCTCCCCGGCCACCGCAGAAGGGTCCCACATGGCGCGCAGACCTCTCCTGCCACCCGCTGCTCCCCTCAGCAGTGTACTTCGGTCCTTCTGCCTACTCTGCTCCCTGCTCTGGCTCTGGTGAATTCTCTCACCCTCCCGCGCTTCTGACTGTACCCAGTGCTTGTATAAATAAATAAAAATAAATCTTAAAAAAATAAATAAATAAAAATAAAAAAATAAAAAAATCAGAGATGTTTGAAGTGCAAAACATTAAGTTCAGGAAGCAGGATCAAAGAGACAACAGAAGAGCGTGGCTTATGACAAAGAAAACAGGATGAGATTTGAAACGCTGATCTAATTTTCCATTCTATCTCCAAAGAATTTATGATTTGCTTATTACTGTACTTCAGTTTAATAGTTTATTAAAAATACAACCATATACATTTACCTATACCAGATATATTCAAAGATAAACCTCTTCTAGGGGCCTCCCTGGTGGCACAGGGCTTTAAGTACAGCTCTATCAAGCTCTCGCCAGCCACTGTGGCATGAGTTTGATCCCCACTCAAGAGCTAACCAACATGGCACAGACCTCTCCTGTTTTGCCTGCTGCTTCCCTCAGCAGTGTATTTCAGTAGATCTGACTGTTCTGCTCCCCACTCTGACTCTGGTGAATCCTCTTACCCCTCCCCCGCACCTCTGACCTACACCCCAGTTCTTGTATGCATAAATAAATAAAATTAAATCTTTAAAAAAAAAAATAGACCTCTTCTAAACCTCTATTCTAAAATAAACCTCTTGGCTAAAAGTCCCAAATCAATAATATTGTTTTTATTTCCAGGTTAAATGCTTCTAGCCACCCAGTGTCAACAGTGGACTCCACTCAGCCTTCCTCTCCTTGACTAAATATATCTGAACCCTTACCAAGGAAGATGAATGCGGATGGATGGATATATGTCAATGTGATAAATTTAATGTTTCATGGCATTATTAATCAACATACCTTAAATTACTAGTTAACACAAGTACTTTGACTTCATTCATCACAAAACTCTTTTCTCCTAGTTTTGTATATAAATAAAACATACTTTTACTCTTGATCTCAGTGCTTCTGCAGTTTTGTTTATTAGGTCTATATATACAGTCTTATGGAGACTGAAAGTTTTCATAGAGTAATGTTTGATGAGGCAAGTATGACCCTAAACATACTGCGTTGTGTAAAATATTCAATACAATAGCAAGTATACCATCACTTTTTTATTTGGCAATACTAGAATACATCCATGTTACAGTGTTTATTTTGGATAAACTGATTTTTGTTTCCTGCTATGGTAGTGTTTAACTTTTACATAAATGAATGCAATTCTTACGTTTAGGAAGTAAGACATGTCTAGTGATAACAGTCAAGTAAAGCTAATACATGGTGGTTCTCAAACTAAGCAAGGTAAAAACATAATCATTAGGAACAATGAAAACATTTCCTTATTTCTATTAATCACAGATTATACAAATTCTTAAGTCTCACATACAGAGATATTTCTAAATTTGATTAATCCAAGCAAAAACCCAAAAGATTTGTATTAGTTTAATTCTTATAATCACTTTAAATGTATATTCGAAATAATTTCCTAATATGTGTTTACATTAAATGTAAATTATGTTATTAACATAATTTAAAATTCCTGATTATGAAAGGTCACAGAGAAGTATATGCAATGTTACTTTGGCATTCCTATTTCATAGGTTTAAAGGAATGATAAAGAATTCTTTTATAATGGAAATAATCACTCCTTTGATAATTTAAATAGAAGATTCTATATTTTAAGGCAAGAAAACGTTTGTAAATATTTTTTGTAAATTCAGTTCAACAAATTAATAGTATCATAGTAAATGTATATGAATAAAGAGTATAACTTTATGAGAAAGAAAATTCTTTGAAGCTAACTATTAGCAGTATGAAAAAGTGGCTTCTTTCTTAAAAGATAATCTCTGATATTTAATTACTCTCTAATTAATAATTAATCTCCTATTTGACATTTAATTGTTAGCCGTAGAAAAGAAATAATGGGCCTTTTATCTGATCAAAAAGGTAGAGAAACCAAAGTAGAAAAAATAATTACCAAATATAAACCACCTGAAATATTTTTTTCCTCAGAAAACTAGGAAAAAAGTAATTTCTCAAGACTAATTCAAGGTCCTCTTAAATTTCCTTAGGGAAGTGGATGGTAGGATTCAAGTGACAATAGCAATCATGGTAAGTGTTAGGGATTTATTCTATAAAGTTCTAGAGTAGATTAATATATATTTTTAAAAACACTGCATTAGCTATTCAACTGAATTCAACAAAAAGTAAAACTGGTACATGTCTTAAGTACTTTTTATGGTCAGAAACATTTTTAAGAGATTTTTTTTTTAAAAAGGTCAAGGATTTTCCTTTACAATAGAAAGGTTTTTTCCCATGTTTATTGCCCTGCAGTTCTATTTTATCATTCTTGTCTCTTTTGTCAAAGGCCACAAAGAAAGATTCTTGCTTAAGTAGTAGTTACTGAAATAACCAGAAACTTATGAAACTCAAGCACTGATTTTGACAAACCAACCTCTAGAATATAAGCAGCTTTTTTTCACTTACGGTGAAATGTAAAAGAGAAAAAAAATCTTCTGAAAAGCCATTCATCTTGCCTGAAGAAATCCCCCAGAGATATCTTATGTAGTAGCAGCATTATTAAATAGTGTAATTCTTCAAAAATAGATTCAAACAATATCTTCCTTAAATAAAAAAGTAATTAAGCTTACTTAAGCTTTGTTTATAAAACTATAGCTTAAAACATTGAGCCCCCCAAACAGGAAAATATAAGCAATAACTGTCTTGCCTACATGGTAATGGCATGTGTGTGTATGTGTATGTGCATATGTGTGCATGTGTGTGAATTATTCAAGCCAGTGTACCTCAAAAAGATGCTAAAAAAAACCCAAACACAGATATAAAATAAAAAGTAAAACATTACATAAAGGATTTCTTAGCTCTGATACTTCTAATGATACTTCTCCATCAATAATTAGAACTATGAATAGTCAATTGTTAAATTAAGAATATATATAAGAAAAATCAAGGAGTTACATATGCAAAACCTACTAGTGTAATACTTCATACTGTTTAATGCTATAACCTATAGATTATGGAACACAGTGCATGTAAACAACACATAGATTCTGAATCTCATATTTTGTAACTATTACATAAATGTGGCACATACATAAATTTCAAACATTATGCTTCTTTCCTCCCCATTTTTCACTTTCTATTCATAAATCAGCAACTAGGCACTTTAATCCCAAAATGCATTTTTTAAAAATACAGCTCCTTCTGGGTAAACTCCCTCCTGGAACAAATACAGCCCACTTTAGGAACACAATCAACAAGTCCAACCTATTATTGATAGACTGAGTCGGTCACTCCAAATAAATGTTATATGATTTGGACACAAAATTAATACAACTCTGAAAATATCCAATATACTCTGAATAACCTCACGCAAATGAACAACTCTTTTGTTCATACAATTGCCATCAAGGACGTGAAATATACTCCCATACCATTAAAAAATATCTTGCTTTATATTCAGAGGAAAAAACCTTTAAAATTTCAGTAAGATTCAAAGTATGAATATTTTAAAAATATGGGCTTAATGTGACAAAATTTCCAGTATGCTAAGTTATCTGTGTGAATAAGTAAAAGCCAGTTTTGCAGAAGGAAAAAGGAGAAATGATTTTATTCTACTAAGATTAATATCTTCAGATGTTGGGCAACAGTCCCAAAATTACACAGGAAAAAAATTTAATGGCCTGTCATAGTTAATAACTTATTTTTAAAATTGATATTCAGTAAAGGGAAAAATGTTCTAATCTATAAAAAAAAGATGTTTTGAGTGTCTCTATTGTAACTTATAGGACCAATAGCAACATATTTTGGAAACTGCAGCAAATCTAATGTAAACTTGTAACTTGTAAACTTCTCAGTGTCAATTCATTTAAATGTTTTTTAACTATACTGAGCCATTACAATATCTTTGATTCAAATACACAAGCAATAAAGTAAGCATTACATATAAAACACCACTACCACCTAAACTTGATCAAACAAATGAATAACTATAATTAAAAATAAATTTTCAGGCAACGTTAAGTTTGTTGACACTATGGGTAATATATTCTTGCATGAGTGAGCCACAAAGGTCTTTGCTAAAGTGTACATTTTCAAGGTGCAAAGCTGTTTTTATAACAGAGTTTTTGAGAATGATATCGGACATTTCACATTGCTTCAAGACAATGACTCAATTTAATTCCCAAGCACTGGCTTCAAATCAAGCAGTATTTCTGTAAAACCCACATTTCACCACTTAAATCATTACCTAACCATTGTAAAAAGTCGCTTTGGAAACACTACACAGGGAATCCATGAAAGAACTTCTGTGTAAGTATAGTAAAGTCCCTTATTCTTTACTAGATTTTTCCCACCCCCCTGAGTCCATTAACACCAATTCTATAGATTTTGTAACATGTTACAAAATCAAGTTAGCTTAAAATATTTCATAGCACATTCAAATTATATGATTCTAACGGTACTTATTGTACTTTGGCTTCCACTAGGCCACTGGACATAACATGACCATGACTACTTATACAACTACTTGTATGCCTCAGTGCATCAGCTCCAAGATAGGCCATTAAAAGTTCAGTGCGACGAATGAGTAACTGCATGAGATCTTCAGTCAAAGCCTCTATACTCGAATAGCGCACCTTCTCGAAGTCAAAAATGTCTTTGAGAAAGAAGAGAACTTGATTCTGAAAATACACACCAAAATACAAAGGTATTTTATTAGCCCAAAATGATACTGTCTAGTTATTAATGTTGTAATAAGCAGTGAATTGGGAGTCAGAAAGTTCAAGATCCAGTGCTAGTTTTGTATCTCATTAAAAAGGGACCTTGAACAAGTGATTACTCTTTTATTGGATCTCATTTTCTTTTTCTGTAAAATAAGATACAATACCACTTGTCCTTTTTACTACTCAGGGCTGATGTAATCATAATAAAAAAAAAAATCTATGGAAAATGTCTGTAAACCCTATTATCTCTTTCCCAGTAAGTGAAGTTTTCAGTGGTATCTCTGAGCATACTTTCAGAGAGACAGTAAATGATCTCCAATAATTTTTATTTATAAATCTTAAATGTATTTTTTTTACAAATAACAAAACTTAAGACATATGAAAAATAAAAATAATTTCAGGTCTCAAATCAGTGGAAGATCGTGAAAGACATTTCATTTCAGTAAGTTAATACTTATGCTGAAACTCACTTTAAGCAAGTTGTACTAAGTATTAAATCTCAAGCTGTTATGTCAAGTCAGGGAAAAAAGTAATGCCAAAGAACAAGAACAAAGAACCAGGAATGCTAAATTTCTATACCATAGGAATCAAATATTAAGATGCACTAAGAAGGGACAATTCTTAGATTCATTAGGGTTTACATCTGGAAAGGTCATTAGCACTCAACCTGTCATGTCTTCTGAACCACGATTTTATAGATGAAGAAAGGACAAGCAGAATCAGACACCTCATTAATGATAGACTTAACTCCTCATCCAAATTTTCCCAATAAACACATACCTTACATTTGGGAGGTAAGTAAACTACTCAAAAATTAATGAGTTCTAAATGACAGTAAAATAAATATTTCCTAAAGCATTTAGATAAATGCTGTATTAATAGCACATAAACAGAAGTTTTTTTTTTTTTTAATGAAGGATATAGAGAAACATCCCAAGCATCAAATATTTTCAAATTCATACTTGGTTATATTTACTTTTTTCTTGTTGAAACTTAGTCCAAACTCAAGACTATTAGTAGGACTTTCCTTGGCAGCGTGCCAGGCAGAAATTTCTGCAATGAGCTGTGATTTGTATTTTGGCAAACAAACTGCTGACGTTGGGAAACAAGTTTCAACTTCAAAGTCATTTCTCAGAACTAGGATTTTATCATTCATAGTATCTGGGACCAGAATTTATTTCCAAATTTCCACATGTGCAATAAACACAGATACTATTTGTTTTAAATTTCAAAAGTGCCCAGGTGTGAAGTACAAATCACCTACAGATATTTGATGGTAATAACAGAACACCGTAAAAGAACAAGTATCTATTATAGAAGGAATTAATAAGATGAATGTGCTTGTTGAATCTTTTCTAAGACAAAGCATCAAATCTATATAATCCTGCCCTACTGGCATTTAAACATTAAATTCAGGTGACTTTCATAACTTCACCTATAAATTACATTCTTTCTCACACAAAAACAAAACAAAATAAAACTTCATCCACTTTTCAATTTAGAAAAAAGGATTGCGGGGCCTCCCTGGTGGTGCAAGGGGTTGCGATGCAGCCTATTTTGCTATCTGAAGCCACTGCAGCATGAGTTCGATCCCTGGCCAGGGAGGTGACCCACATGCGCAGCAGACCTCCTGACTCGCCTGCTGCTCCCCTCAGCAGTGTATTTCAGTCAATCTGCCTGTTTCGTTCCCCACTCTGTCTCTGGTGAATCCTCTCACCCCCAACACCTCTGGCCTGTACCCTGGTTCTTGTATGCATAAATAAATAAATCTTTAAACAACCATCCAATAGCATGGTTGTTTAAAAAAAAAGAAAAAAAGGAATGATTCAATGACTGCACATACCTTAAAGAAGCAACATAAATCATACAGAGAATTTCTAGGACCCAGAAAGCCCCAGGCTAGGACGGGGCTGATGTGCTCACAGATGGCATAAAAGTGGGCAAAAAATCCATCTGGGATCTGTTGGAAAGTAAAAGAGAACAAGTTCTTTTTATCTGCTTGCATTTTCTTTTTCCATTAGAGCAACTGCAATTGTTACCCATCCGATGACCAGCTCTTTCTTAAGGGCAGATCAAAAAGTCAATGATGTACAGCCTAAAGAAAGTTAATAACTTACAAATAATTTTTAGAGTCATAGAATGTTTTCATAGAATATAGATTTCATAGCCTAGCCGACAGTTTCTAACATTCTGAGAAATGTTATTTCTTAAAGACATTTTAACCTCATAAAATTATTTCATAAAAAAAATCATATCAAGTGCTATAACCAAGCAATAACAAAAATGTTATGATGTTCCTTAGCAGTATGATTTTTAGGATTAATGAGAGTACCATAGTTTCAGTTATTAAAAAGCTTTACTCAAGCACTTAATAAGATCATCTGAAAAAGAATAAAATCATCTTTAAATTATTAAGTACAAAAGTATGCTACCAACTTCTAAGTTAAGAAACTAGATATTGCTAAAGTAATTTAATTTTGTAACTGCCTCTACTTAAACAGCAATGACACATGCAGTTATGATGTAGGAATTTCTCTAAATTTATTAATAACTTTCTGAATTTCCCTTGTTAAATAACATCTTGTGGAATTTGCCACATAGCATTGACTAGGGATAACTATGTCTTAAGATCCTGACTCTTGGAGGATCTATTTTCTATTTTACAGACTCCGATAATCTTCTAAACTTCAATAAAAAAAAAAAAGTCTAGGAACAGTTACCATTTAATGAATACCCATTATATTCCAGATAAATAGAACCTAACACTAATAAAATACTCCTGAAATAGTAGCTTGTGTTAACATCATCTTAACAAGTAAAAATTGATACTTCAGAGGCATTAATAACCTGTCTTAAATCACACATAGCTTGTTAGTGAATGCCAAAAAGTTCTCAGAAAAAGTTGTTACTCTAGTATAAGAGGCTGTGCATATATTAAAATTCTAATCCCATGCAGATTCTAAGTGTATTAGGAGTTCAGACAGGTAAGAAGTTAGTAGAAAAGACAAGCTTCACCAAGGAGTAATGTGAACTGAACTCCATAGTAGGAAAGATTCAAGTACAGAAGATAGAATATATTATTCCAGGTGTAGAAAATAGTCCCCCCAAAGTGAGATATACAGTTATCTATGGATACAGAAAGAAGACTAGTCTAGGACACAAAATTTATGCTAAAAATAAGAAATACAGATAGAAACTGCCACTCATTAAACTTTCTATATTTATTTTTTAAATTTTATGCTTAAATTAAGCTTAGCGATAATTATCTCACCTAATCCTTACAGCAGTATGAAGTAGGCATTAACTTCATTTTGCAAATAGGAAAACTGAAGGGTCAGTTGATAGTTTGTAACTTGCCCATGATCACGCTAGTTAGTGTGACAATCAAACCCTAGTCTGTAAATCTGTTCCTTAATCTCAAAAATTAGCTATAATCATTTGGGGAGCCTGTTTAAAACACAGAGTCTCTGGCATCATTTTAAACAAAAATTATTAAAGTATATGGTCTCTGGAATTATGTTTAACACCTTCTGAAGATACTCTAACACTATGCTTTGGAAACAGTGCACTTGCCAATCTATCTCAAAGTTGTAAGGATCAGATTTTGAAATACAGATAATATAAAATACAATAAGTTAATGAGAAAATAATAGCAATAACCAACACTTGCATAATAGACTGTGCCATGTACAGTTCCATGTACTTTACATTTAATACCCAAAAAGCTCATGAGATAAATACTATGCTCTTTTTTTAAGAGATGAGGAAACTAAGGCATAGAGAGGTTAGGCAACTTGCCGAGGTGCTAGCTAGCACATGGTATTTTAACCAGGCAATCTGACTAGAGTTCATGCCTTTGCCAGAGGAGTGTGTGGTGATAACACGTGTAGAGGGTGAGATGTGCTGGAGGATGTGGAGCTTGGAAACAGGATATGAATTTTGAGACTTTTTGGGCAGATGCTCTCAGTTGAATAAATTAGTTATTCAAATCAAATCATTTCTCAATTGATTACATAAGGTGGGATCCACTATACTAAACAGTTGTTTTAAATCTTAATATCATTAAAAACAAAAGCTCTATCAGAACTGTTTTCAACCCTTAGTAGAAATTCCATGCATGCCTCAATACTTACAATATTGAACTATGTCAAAGTGAACTATACAGTTAAGGAAAAGGGAGAAGGAATTTTAAAAAGGAGAAGTCAATCTAGAACCAATAAGTTACTCATCTAGCTTAAGGAATGGTCTCTATCAGCTCCCATCCCCATTAGAGAAGCAGCTCAGATGTTCCTTTGATAATTTGTTCCTCAAATTATTTAACAGAGATGTCCAAGGCATAATGACTCTTACCTTCATCTGTTGCCTTTTCTGTTTCAGCACTGACCAACAACTTGAAGCCACAGCCTAAATAAATGTATAAAAGGCCAGATTTACATTATTAACAATATAAATTTTTTTCTATTTGAAGTGATTTTTATTAGAGATTCAAAGATTTTGGGGCTAAAATGTTCAAAACATGAATTTTTAATAAGAAATACTCCAGGTTCTTTCCATTGTTTGTAAATACTAATGAAAAGGCATTTTGATTTTATAAATTTTAAAATTAAATACAAAGTCAATGAAAGAAAAGGTTGACTCTGGTACCAAGGATAATTACTCAGTAATTACACTTCAATTCTGAGTTCTCAAAATTCTGTTCTCATAGGAAAAGAATGAAAATGTGTACACAGATGTATAATAATTATTTCATGCTGAACACTGAAAACAAAATAAGGAAATTTTTTTTAAAAGAATAGTTCTGTTGGAAATATTGATAGTTGTAGGTAGAGCTAACAGTTTTATTCAAATAGAGAACTAATAGAGAACTAAGAACTATTCAAACATAGAACTAAGAACTATGATAGGAACAAAAATACCTAAGTGGAGCCTGAAAATATCTGGTTCTACTCTGTCCATACCCAACTTTTTTTTTTTTTTTTTTTTTTTTTAAAGAGGCACGTATTTTATTCATTTATTTATTTATTTATTTATTTGTTTGTTTTTGTTTATACATGCACTGGGTACAGTCAGAAGCACGGGAGGGTGAGAGAATTCACCAGAGCCAGAGCGGGGAGCAGAGCAGGCAGAAGGACCAAAGTACACTGCTGAGGGGAGCAGCGGGCGGCAGGAGAGGTCTGCGCGCCCATACCCAACTTTGATCAAGGTCATCTCACCAAGTCAATTGCAGAAATGGAAACATAGGCCTTTCATGGCTAAAACAAACTTTGAGAGAAAAACAGATTTCCTATAAGTGCTTTAAAATTTAATACCAGCAATTTCTAAAATAATTGTGAAATAGCCAATTAGAACATATTTTAAAAGGCATCCAAACTTCATCATAAATATCTACCACCTACTTCCAGGTAGACACTTAAGGGGCAACAACAACAACAACAACAAAAAAAAAAAAAAAAACCAATGTCAACTAGAGATTTAAGTATGAAAAACAATAGAAATTGAGACATTTGAAGTATATAGTTTAAAACTGCTTTATTTTCACACTTTTTTTTCTCCTTTAATTTTTGATAGTATTTAGGAAAAGAAATCTCCAAATTTTCCTCTTAAAATATTTCTTTATTGTTTTTTTTTTTTTTTTTTTTTACTTTAATTGAGGTAATGTTGGCTTACAATGGTGCATATGATTTAGGGGAACAGGTTCATACCTCCTCAGATGGATGTCACCACACCACACCCACCACAAAAGCACCCACAGTATTTTACCACAGACCATTAGAACCCCTCACCTATTTGTTCCAAGTGTCTCCCACCCCACCTGGCAGTCTCAGTTCTGCAGTCTTATATCTCAGGTTAGTTTCAGTTTAGTTTGTCACTTTCTTTGCTTTGTTTCTCTGTGTTCCATTATGACTCAAATCATCTGGTATTTGTCTTTCTTCTTTGGACTTATTTCATTGAACATAATCCCCTCAGGTTTCATATGTCATTTTTTTAGTTCAACTGCAGTATTTCAGTTTAGTTGTAGAATTAATTCAGTTACATACAAATTTTATTAGACCTGAGCTAGTAAGAAACATAATTTTTTGGCTTGTTTATTTTGAAATCTGAAGAAACTACTCAGTCCTACTAGTCAAGATAGGGGTTGATAAAAGAGTCAAAAGGTGAATTTCAACTAAAGATGTTATATATCATACATATCTGATCTGATTATCAAAGGATAAGCTTAGTATCCATATTAGTCATTATACAAGCAGATATATATGTAAATCTTACTAGCCTTTCCAGTTCTGACTATTTTTCATCAAATTTAAATGGTTGAGAAGTAAACCACCACTTACAGTTTCTTTGAAAGAGGAGTTTAGCCAGCGGTTATTTACTACATTCTGTATGGATGTAGGTGGGTTTTCTAAATCTTCAAAGGAATCCATTAATATAAAATCCAGAACAACATCATAAAAATTTAGATTTTTCACCTGCATTAAGTTACAAGAATTAAAACAGAAATTATTATTATAGAGAGTTGAGATAAAGTTTGAAAACAGGGTTTCATACTTTGTAATACCAGGATCTTATTAGTTGCATTATATTCTATTTCTGACAAAAGAAGAGGAAGAGGAGAGAAACATAAGAAAATTCACCACCAGTAATTATAATTCACATTAGAGTTGCGTCTTCCTAGATCCTATCAGGTAAAATCAATCTCTCTCTCCACTCTATTCTAGAAGTCCTCTGTTCATGCTTTTATTATGGTGACCACAATGTTCATCTTACTTACTGATCATTTAGTTACTGGTATATCTGTCTGTCTTCCCTACTACATGATGAACCTCCTGCTCTCTCATTCATTCATGCATACTGTACTGTACTCTCTATGCTAGCAGGTGCCCAGACTTCTACAGTAAGTAAACTATACGCTTAGAATTCAGTCAGGAAAACAGACAACAAAAAATAATTTCATAAATATATAACTAAGCTGAGAGGAGCATTGCAAAGAAAAAAATATACGGTATTATGAGAGTATATGATGGAGATGCTAATTTAGACTGGATGCAAGAAGCTTTTTTCAGGGAGTGAGATATCCCAGGTATAGCAAATCTTTTCAAAGACTTTACGATAAGAAGGAACACAGTGGAGCTGAGTCAAGGAAAATCACTGAAAGGGTGCTGTAGCTCTCTGTAGTAGAAAGCAAAGGTGAGTAACTACATACAAAAGGAAGGCCAGTTTCTGCAGAGTTCATGATCCATTTTATCCTCACAGTATCTAAGGGGTGGGATGGGAATGAGAAAGATGATCAGATTTGTATTTTCTGAGGACAGTTTTGGCAGCAATGTGACAGTGAATTTAGAGGGGAAGGAGTGTATGTGGGGAGGTGGGGAAGAGAGGAGTAGGCAGGGAGTAAGGCAATACAGGATTATCAGTATATTTAATTCCTCAGTATATTTATCATCAGTATAGTTATCCTCCGTATATTTAATTATTTGTTTGATCTCGTATGCAGTCAATCCCCTATCCCCACTGTCCCATCTGAATTTGTGCTTGCATAGAACCCCATTACCACCCTGTAAGTGGCTGATAATTGACTTCTGGAAGGAAGGAAGAAAGGGAAGACAGAACGAAGGAAGAAAAAAAGGAAAGAAGAAAAGGTTTTTTAAAAAATAATTATTTTCAACTGTTGCCCCAATGTATGTAGACTGGTACTGACTTTGTCATAACCACCATACACAATTGGTTTGCCTGCTACTTAACAATGACAAGGAAACTGGGCCTCATAATATGTAAACATTATGTGTAAATAACTAAAGGGAATAAATACGATAAAAATTTTTAACTTACTCCTCTAGCAGCAAGTTCCATTTCAGTACTATCCCAGTGATCTGTCTGCTCCAAAAAATAGATCATCTCATCAAAAACATCTTCAAACTTCTTTGGATTCTGTAGAAGAAAACACACTTTAACTGAAACTCAACTTTATAATAAGGTTAAAGTTTACAAAGTAAATGAATTACTCTTTAGTAAGTTTGTTAGCTTGTTAATCTTTTAGGTAACAGAATTAAAATTTATTTTCAAAATATATCATATTCATTTAGTTTAATACTTTGTTCTGCCAACATTTTGCAGAAGCGAAGAGTAAGACTATTAGTAAAATGTCATGTGCAAACTGCTTACTACTCAAATATGTATGCCTATTTAGGTCACTTCTTAATATGAAAATTTGATTACAAACTGCAAATCTTTATGTTACTGTTATAGTTACTTAAAAAAATAAAAAAAATTGAAAGCAACAAAATGTGCAGATGGAACAAATGGCACCTTGGCACCTCAAGGGAGAGATGCCTTGGCATCACAAGGAGAGGAAACCCTTCCAGAATTCAACCACAAAGACATGGCAGATTTTATCTTTCTATCAAATACAGAGTTCAAAATTGCCATGATAAAAAAAAAATTCAAAGAACTGGAAGAAAATTGAGAAAAAAGAATGACCTGAGAAATATAATGAATGAACAGAAAATAGAGATGAAAGCTTTAGATGGGGATATAGAAAAGATGCAAGATGTAAAAAGATCAATAGAGGAGACAAAAACATTCTTGAGAAAGCTATGAAAGCAGAACAGACCAAAGGAAGATCCAATCAGTGACCTTGAAGATGATGATATGCAAAGGATCCAGGGGGAAGGAAAAGAAATACAAGAAAAAGTAATGAAGAAACAAAGATTTATCCGACTTCACACAAGGCAGCACAAGGTATATGGGTATTCCAGAAGGGAAAGGGAAACAAAAGGGACAGAGACATTACTCAAAGAAATTATAGAGGAAAGCTTCCCAAACCCAGGAAGGAAGCTAAGTATACAAGTCTATGAAGCTAGGGCCTCCCTGATGGCCTAGGGGTTAAATCTCAGCACTATCACTGCTATGACCTGAGTTCGATCCCCAGCCAGGAAGTTAACCCACATAAGGCGTAGCAGACCTCTCCAGTCTTGCCTGCTGTTACCCTTAGCAGTGTATTTCAGTAAATCTGCCTGTTCTGCTCCCCACTCTGTCTCTGGTGAATCCTCTCACCCACCCCCGCACTTCTGGCTTACACCCCAGTTCTTCTATGTGTTAAAAAAAAAAGTCTATGAAGCTAAAAGAACACCTCATTAGCTAAATATACAAAGAACTTTATAATACATAGAAGTGAAACTTCCAAGATTTCAACATAAAGAAAGAATACAGAAGGTCGCTAGGGGAAAAAAGAAGATAATCTATAAAGGAAAACCGGAAACTTTTCACTGAACAGAATTGAAGGAGGTAAGAGAAGAGGTAATAGAGAAAATAACAGTGTTGGCTGTAGTAGCAGATCTAATGATGAATCTCACCATGATGATCCCAGACTTTATGGCAAATAAATAATTTATGAGAAACAACTTGGTGCAAATAGTGTGGACTTTATAAACAGAAAATAAGTAAACCCAAGTAGAAATGAATGCTCTTTGGGTTATTTATTTTTATTATCTGAATTTTCACAACTGTCTTTTCTTCTACTTAAAATTTAATGTATTTTATGCTTCAGTACAACTAAAAACACAACAATAAAAAAATTGCCAACAAACAAATATACCTTTCTTGCTTTCACAATTAATGCTGATAGAATTTTCCTTCCACTCTCAGCAAGGAATATTCTGTTGGCTGTTTCTGAAAGAATTACCTGCAAAACATCCAAACAGAGAAAAACAAGACCTGTAATTAATGTGAATGAACTTTTCACTTTAGAGCACATCTATGAATATAATCGATGCATTCTATTTGGTTGTCTTTCAGCAGGTAAAGCAGAGAAAATTTAATTTATTAAAATCAAAAGATCAAAAGAGTTTTTAAAATCTATAATCAAAAAAGAATGAGATAAATCTAAATTTAAATTCTATTCAGTTTAATATTAAAAGTCCAAGATAAATGTCATATAGTCCAAAACAGGAAAATAAAGACAATTTTGTTGTTAAATGAATATATTTCATTTTGGGATTTTACAATTGATTCAAAGAAAAAAATTTAGAACACATAATAATTGATAATGAGACAGGGTGTTTTCATTTTAAGCAGACATTTCTATACATCTGCAGCATCAAATTTACTGTTTTAATAAAGTATGCTCGACATGGGAAGCCATGGGATAGGACAATGACAAATGCAGGGACACAGTAGGCAGGAACTTAACAGACCTTGTGTTTGCTATTAGGAATAAAGATAATAAGGGGTAAAAAGCTGTTCTGTTTATATGCAGTTGTACTCTGTAGCATGAAGGTGGAGTGACTGGCTGGAGGAAGTCATTTAATATTAAAAAAAAAAAAAAAAAAAAAACCTGAGGGCCTCCCTGGAGGCACAAGGGGTTAAGACGCAACCTATGAAACTATCTGCAGCCACTGCAGCACGAGTTCTATCTCCGGCCAGGGAGCTACCCACATGGCACAGGGGACTTCTCCTGACTTGCCCGCTGCTCCCCTCAGCAGTGTATTTCAGTCAGTCTACCTGTTCTGTTTCCCACTCTGACTCTGGTGAATCCTCTCACCCTCCACCCCTCTGGCCTGTACCCCAGTTCTTCTATGCATAAATAAATAAATCTTTTTAAAAAAATACCTGAAAAGCCTGTCGAATACAGTGAAGTTTGGCAAGAAAATCACTGTCTCCTAGGCACTCCAACATTTCAGTTCTAAGTAATAAACAGGGGAGACAATTGTTAAACTGCATTCAAGATCAAGCCCACTACAAATTTGGACTCAAAGAGGCTTAACTTCAGGGCCGTAATATAAAATACATGTCTTTTCAATATCGACAAAACATAAACATTTTGTTGAATCTTAAAAACATTTCCCCTAGTCCCACATTTTTAATTAATACTATACAAACATAGCAACAGCATATTAATATTTTTCAGAAACTCAAGCAAAACCGAAATGATACCTAAGCACTCTCGAGTAAATTTTTCCTTCTTCCACTAAGTGCATGGCTTCTTCATAAAAGGGGCAATGGCAAAGAGACTCCAGACTGTAGGTATGCCGCACTTCTCTGTGCTCTGCAAGCTAAGAATACAGTGGGTTAAAACAGACTACACTGAAGAAGAGCAGAAAAAAATTCAAAACAGGATTTTGTTCACATCAATATATGTTAAATTTGATAAAACCATAAAATTGCTCAGTAAAATTTTATATCTAGTTATATCTGAATTCATTTTCTCTCAAAGTTTTCTCTTTTTTTGGCCTCTGAGCTAAGTCTTATTTATATTACCCTAAATATTGCTAATAACTAAACTTTTTTTCCTCTTCACTTTTTGAATAAGGGTTATAGAAAAATACAGTTGGCTATTTTAGAGTATAAATGCTGCAATAAATAACGGGTTAAATTCTACCATTTAGTTGTAGAACTTGAGGCAAGTTCCTGCTAATCTAAATCATTTTTTTATTTGTAAAAATGGATAATAATAGCGCCTAATTTATATGTTGTTGTGAAGATTAAATGAGATAATCAACTTAAAGCATTTAGGATAACATAATGTGTACTTATGAAATGTCAGAACTATACCATAGAGAAGCACTTATGAAATAGTAAACACCTCCACAAATCTCCACAAAAGCACAATCGCTGGCAAAAACTGTCAAAATTAAAATTTTCAGAGCTCTGAATATTAATGAAAGACTTGCAAACATTTAAGGAGCATTTATTTAAGAAAAATTGCTGAATCTATGAACAGTAACTTCTTCATTTTTAATTTGCTCTACTGTCATCCCTCTCCTCCACAGTGGTCTTGAAAACCACCAGACTCACAACTATGGTAACTAAAAACCTGGAGTCTGGCAGCCATTTGAAGAAACCTTAATGATTTTGAAGCTTCCGAAAAGCCCTATCCCTAAAGAATTGTCACAATTTGACCTGAACAGCCCCTCCCTGCAAAGCTCTAATCTCAGGGCTTGTCTTTATTTGACCTGGCCTGACTTAGAGCTTGCTCTGTGCAAGTTCTACCCTCCCTCAACCTTTGTTGAAAATAGCCTGTAGCAATTGTTTTAACGCTACAGCTACCTGAGGTAGTCATACCCGAGGCTAGGCTGATCATAACAATGTTTATAGGGGTCTTTGAAAAAGTCCTGTGTTTTCCTGGGAATCTAAGAGGTTGCTAGTACGTTCCGGGCTACCCATATATCCAGGACTGATCTTTTAAATCCCTAACCTCCCAGCTCTAACTAATGTTGATATTCTATCCAAGCAGGAAGTAAAAGTTAAGACAAAAGGAAAAAAAAAAATCACTGGCCTCTATCAGAAACAAAAATAAAAACTTTTCTTCAAAGATCCCCAATAAGAAAGTGAAAAGACAGTAAAACATGAGAAAATATTTATAATTCGTATATTTAATAAAGGACTTAAATCCAGAGAATGCAAAAAATGGTTACAGCTCAATAATAAATTATAAATAGGGGACCTGCCTGGTGGCTCAAGGGGTTAAGTCTCAGCACTATGAAGCTATCTGCATTCCCGGGCCAGGGAGGTGACCCGCATGGCACAGCAGACCTCTTCTGTCTCGCCCACTGCTCCCCTCAGCAGTGTTTTGGTCAATCTGCCTGTTTTGTTCCCCACTCTGTCTCTGGTGAATACTCTCTCCCCTACACCTCTTGCCTGTACCCAAGCTCTTGCATGCGTAAATAAATAAATCTTTAAAAAAATAAAGTTTGGCAATGGCTCAAAAAGTTGAACATAGAGTAACCATTAGACTCTTCTATTTTTACACATACACTCAAAAGAATCGGAAGTATATTTGTAACAGGGTGGTCCCTGTAGCAGAAGGACCGAAGTACATTGCTGAGGGGAGCAGCGGGCGGCAGGAGAGGTCTGCGCGTCATGTGGGACCCTCCTCCGGTGGCCGGGGAGCAGCCGGGGATTGAACTAGTGCTGCAGAGGCTGCGGGCAGCTTTGCAACTCAGCGCTCAACCGCTGCGCCACAGGGGAGGCCCTAGATAATAAAGTTTTGTGCCATTGTCAAAATGAATATGATCTATCTATATACACCTACCCATAGAGAAAAATCCTAAAGCAGAAATGGGGCTGCAATTATACTCCCTACTAATAAGAGAAACAAATCCAACAATGAGAGATTCCAGAATAAAAATCTTGATTTATTAGTCTGTCTGAAGTAATCTTTTATTTTTTTAATTTATTTTTTAAAGATTTATATATTTATGCATACAAGAGGTGGGGTACATGCCAGAGATGCAGGGGGGTGACAGGGTTCACCAGAGACAGAGTGGGGCACAGAACAGGCAGACTGACTGAAACACACTGCTGAGGGGAAGCAGCGGGCAAGACAGGAGAGGTCTGCTGCACCATGTGGGTTGCTCCCTGGCCAGCGGGGGATCGAACTTGTGCTGCAGAGGCTGCGAATTGCTTCATAGTGTGGTGCTTAACCCTTTGTGCCACCAGGGAGGCCCTGAAGTAATCTTTTAAAATAAATTTCTTAAAATAGGCTTGCAGCTGTGAAAATATATCAAAGGTTTGATAATAGCTAACATTTTCATCAACTGTTCTTTTTTTTTAATAATAAATTTTATTTTTATATTCCCCATACAATTGCAATCCCCCCATTCTGAGCCCAATCCCTCCCCTCCCGCCCCCCACTCCCCAAAAAGTGTCTCTGGTTCATAGTTTTTTGTTTCATCAACTGTTCTTAAGAGACAAGAACAACTGAGAAACATTTATTTAAATCATTAATCTTAAATTTTAAGCAAATCACTAAAATGATGGCTTAAATTTTCACTTTAGAATGTATTTTATAAAAAGACAAAATTTCCAAAATCTTTTTTAAAGGTTTCAGGAAAAAGAGTAACATTTTCTGAGAGCTCAGATGTTACTTCAGAAACAGGTCAGTCACACAGTTTTATCCCAGCAGATGGAAAAGAGCAGTTCTTTTTTGGCTAGCTAAAACATGAAATTCCTTTTATTCCTAAATTACTCTTTTCCCAAAAGGGCATATTTCAAAAACTCATTTTAATATTTTCAAAAAGAAAAGTAATTATACTGGCTTAGAGAAAGCACCATCCACCTTTAATTATCTTCCACATTTCACAAGTACTATAAAAATGACCATGTAAGAAATCAAACCAACAACAGAAACAGATAAAACCTATAGATGAATCAACCAGTGAGAACAAAATTTTAGCTGAAGATTTCAGCATCCTAAATTACTTCTCCCTTGCCTTCCATGAAGTACAAGAGGGACTGGGCCTTACCTTTCTTGTTAAACAATGACTTGGCTGAATATTTGCACAAATCTTAATTTTTGTGTGTGTGTGTAGAAGAACTGGGGTGTAGGCCAGAGATGGGGGGCTTGAGAGGATTCACCAGAGACAGAATGGGGAGCAGAATAGGCAGATCCACTGAAATACACTGCTAAGGGGAGCAGTGGATGAAACAGGAGAGGTCAGCTGCACCGCATGTGTTAGTTCCCTGTTGGGGATTGAACTCAGGCTGTTGAGAAAGGCCAGGTGGTAGCACTGAGACTTAACCCCTAGGCCACCAGGGAGGCCCCAAATTAAAAAAAAAAAAAAGAAAATTTTTTTTTAAAAACCTTTCAACAACCATGAATAAATCATTCAAAGTCCCAAAACTACTCTAAGTTGGGTCATGAAATAAGCCATTCTGGGCTTCCTTGGTGGTGCAAGGGGTTAAAACGCAGCCTATGAGGCTGTCTGCAGGCAATGCAGCACGAGTTTGATCCCTGTCCAGGGAGCTACTCACATGGCGCAGCAGACCTCCCCTGTCTCGGCCCGCTGCTCCCCTCAGCAGTGTATTTCAGTCAATCCTCCTGTTCTATTCCCCACTCTGTCTCTGGTGAATCCTTTCACCCCTCACACCTCTGGCCTGTACCCCAGTTCTTGTATGCATAAATAAATAAATCTTTAAAAAAAAGCCATTCCATTTAATGATTTCTATATTTTTACATTTTTCATTTTCTTCTTATATGTTTAAATTTTCTTTCAAATCAACCACTTAAATTTTTTTTTTTAAGATTTATTTATTTTTATACAAGAACTGGGTACAGGCCAGCTGTGCGGGAGGGTGAGAGGATTCACCAGAGACAGAGTGGGGAGTAGAAGGTGAGACAGGAGAGGTCTGCTTCACCACATGGGATTCTTGCCGGCCGGCCGGAATTGAACCCGCGCTGCAGAGGCTGCGGACAGCTTCACAGCGCTGCATTCAACTGCCTGCACCACCAGGGAGGCCCAACCACCTAAAATTTTTTTTAATTGTATGACATTTTATTTTTTTTAATATTTTTTTATTTATTTATATATTTATTTGTTTATTTATTTATTTGTACAACCACTGGGTACAGTCAGAAGCACAGGAGGGTGAGAGAATTCACCAGAGCCAGAGCGGGGAGCAGAACAGGCAGAAGGACCGAAGTACACTGCTGAGGGGAGCAGCGGGCATGGCAGGAGCAGTCTGCGCGCCATGTGGGACCCTCTCCTGTGGCCAGGGATCGAACTGGTGCTGCAGAGGCTGCGGGCAGCTTCGCAGCCCAGCGCTCAACCACTGTGCCACCAGGGGAGGCCCCCAACCACCTAAAATTTTAAGTAAGATTTGCAGTTAAAGAAAGTAGGATGAATGTATCCCCTATGTTATTAAGTAATAAAAAAAGTAAATAAATCCACAATAACCACCTTCTAAATTGGTCCTCAACGATTTTTCCTGGTAGGGTACCTCATTCCACTGACTAGGACTAATCTGTGTAACCAAGAGCCTACTATGCAAATGATGAACTGTCGTTTCTGAGGCTATATCATAACAGTCACTACTTCCATCTCACTCTCTCTTTGATCTCTTTCTCTGGGGGAAGCCAGATGCCTATTGGGAAGATACTCAAGCAGTGCTACAAGAAAGTCCATGTGGTGAGTAGCTTAGGTTTTCTTCCAGTAGTTTGTGCCAATGTCCCATTTATATGTGAGCAACCTTGGGAGCAGATTCTCCAGCTCCAGTTAAATATTTAAATGACTGTGGCCCCAGCCAACATACTTGACTACAATTCCATAAAAAA